GCACTATAAAATAATTGTCACCGTTAATTAATGATAATATGATAATAACGTGTTAACTTGCCCAGCACTCATTTTTACATTTATATAACTGCATGTACAATATATTTACACTTGAATAAACAATAATCAAATGCAGAGAGCCATTTAACAATATGTTAGGAGTCGTTACAGTTATACAGTCTTACAGTTACAACCGGCCCTTTGAGGGCGACCGTGATGCTGATGTGGCCCAGAGTTAAAATGAGTTTGACACCCCTGGTTTAGAGCGTAAAGCGGCTTGGATCATCATGATGGAAGTATATCATAAGTTGTTGCAGCAATTTTTAAGTTGAAACCTTTTTGTTACACATATTTGGTGCTCAATTTAACAACATTTTCTAAAAATGATTAAAAAACGAGACACCAAGAGCTTGAAAATCACCATAGAAACATCTATGCTGTGATTTGGTATCAAAAACTTTTGAGATTGCAAAGTTTCAGTTATTGTTTCTTGTATGTTTATACATATATTTTTTTTAATCTCTGCATCACTAGAAGAAATTCCCCTGCATTTCCAAATGCTTCTGTTTTGATGCATCTCTCACTAGTCTGGAAACCTTCTCCCCTCGCAGATGGTATTAAACATAGGCTGTAGAACATTAGGATTTAGGAAATGATCTGTTCCCACTTTTAATGAAAATGTAGTTGAATTGTCCCCATTTCTCTGTTAAATGAAAAGACATCTTCAAGAAAAAGTCTGTAGAATGACTTACTTTTAACTTAAATACTCAAACTCATCATGCTCACCTCCCTTGTCTTTGAAAAAAAGAAAAAGAATAGTGTATACAAATGTGTAGTTCACTAACTATTGCTTTATAACAGACGCATTACACCTCTAGAAACGGAGCTATATGTAGAAACTGAACCCGTCCTCGTTTGCTGATATACTTTCCACTCTGACGTCGCATGTGTTTCTGATTGGGACTGTTTTGAACGCAGCCGCGTTTCATCCCCAACAAACAATATCTCTGCTAATGGCAGCTGTAACGCTTCTCATAAAAAATCAAAGAGGAATTGATTGTTTTGTTTTTTTTGTTCGCCCTCGTTCAATAAATAAACGCTGCCCTCTTCTGTTGTCTGGGAAAATATCCAGGGTCGAGGTTCATTTGTGGGTATTTTTTGGGGGAAGTAAACACAACCATGAAATATGTGTGACATTCTAAGGTCTTTCGTGGCCAGTTTAATAACAAATACAGCACAGCAGCATTGACGAAGCGCCGTCATGTGCTAATTGCGGCTGTAGTTAACACTTTTAATTGAGTGTGCAGCCGTTTGACCCTGCAATCAGCCCAGCAATCGTGGAGACCAAATGAAGGGAGGGGGATTGTCGCCGCTCTCCTTCACAACTACACGGCCGTGTTCCAACACAACTGCCAAACTCACTCCCAGTCACACAACGTTTTGTTTTTTGTCGCTGGAGCGCTTTAAATTCCCAGCTCCGCTTTTGTATTCCCGCACCGCCTCCACAAAAAAAAAAGGGGGGGGGGGGGGGGGGGGGGGGGGGCATGTGATTGCCTCTTGATTAATTTAGTCGAGTGCATCCATATTGGATCCTTTAAATGCTTATCAGCTATTACATGCTTCATTATGTTAGTAATAGTTCTCCACTCTGGTCGTTAATGTGTGGATGTTTATTCCAAGACTCAGAAGTTTTTGTTTTGGGTTGTGCCCCCCCCCTAAGGCTTTATTCCTCGTCTTTTTAATTTCTGAGGTTGTCCTTGCTCTGTTGCTAAGGTAACGATGAAGAATACTGGTTGCTGCGCTGGGCTTTCAGCTATCAATTAAAGGCGAGGACGGCAAAGCGCTGCACGCACGTTGGCACACATGGTGATCGGATGCTTTCTCTGCCCGGGCTGCACATGTGGATATATACATTTATGGGTGTGTGTGTGTGTGTTTTTGCCCGTTCCCCAGACGTATCCCACTTAGAAATAAAGCAGGCTTCTCCTCTCACCCCTGCACTGTCACTCAAACCTCTAATTGGCCCGGAGTCTCTTGAACACAGCTCTTTGAGCGTGATTGTGCTCGTGTTTTCTTCCCTCTGCTGTTTTCTCTCCGCCGACCGGCTGGCTGGCTGGCTGGCTGGCTGTCAGTCTGTCTGGCTGGCTGGCAGGCAGGAAAGGCACCGGTTCACCTATTGTGCCCCGGCCCCGGGAACACCGCTACGGGCTAAACCAGTGGAGAATGTAAAACACAGATGGCCATAGACTCACAAATGAATTCATGGAAAAATGAGAGCGCCTCTTGGGTCAAATTCTGCAGTGTCCATTCCGGAGCACTAGCTATTTTTTTGCTTCTTTCCCTCTACCCTCCATCTTTTATTCCTCTGCCTCATCTGTCAGTCCAGCCATCCTCCACACTCCCAGCATCCTCTCCTCCTTACCCGCTACTCTCCCAAACTCTCCTTTCCTCTCACACACACACACACACACACACACACACACACACACACACACACACACACACACACACACTCCTCGCTCTCTCTCTCTCTCTCTCCTGTAGCCTCAGGTCCCTAGTCAGGGTTAATTAGCTTTAAGTTGATATGTGTTTAATGGTTAATGTGGTTTTCTTCCTGCGATGCCACTCACCCCCCCCCCCCCCCTGCGGATTCACCCAACCAAGCATGCTACCCGAGCAATCGTGCGAAGAGCGGCGGCGTCGCCTACCTGCTCGCTTTGACTGTCAAAACCAGCCGAAACCAGTGCGCACATCTCCCCCAATTTCCCTTTCTCTCCGGGACGCTAGATATAGCGAGTGAGTGGGAAGGAGCTGTGGAGAGACAGAGCGAGGGAGAGAAAAGGGTGAGGCGGTGCCATATAATAAGAAACAGGTGAGAGAGAGAGAGGGAGATGGGAAAGATGAGAGCGCCAGTATGTGGGGAGAGGAAGTGCGAAAGACAGTGTGATAGATCTGACAGGGACTGAGCGAGATCGAATATGGGGGAGAGATGAGAGATTGGGAGGGGGCGGGGGGGGAGGCAAAGCAAAGCAGAGGAAATGCTGCCAGTACCTGTTATTCTGCTCTCCTCCGGGCGGAGAAGAGAAGGGCTTCCATTGCTATGCCGCACCACACGGCAGCCTAGAGAGCAGGCTGAAGTGGAGGGGAGTGGATGTGTGAAATTTTAATCACCTCTCTCCGTTTGTAATTTTTAGCAGCCCCCTCAATCAAAATCAAAAAGCATCGCCAGCACTTGCAAGAGCGATGCTCCGGCAGGATATTTGAACTTGTAACCAGAGTAGTGCAATGCGGGCCGCGTGCATATGTGTACTGTATGTTTAGCTGTTACATTCATTCTCATATATATATATATATTATATTACACGTCATACTTTGGTGCAGATTGGATTAAAGCCTCACAAGTGTTACAGCTGCATTGGTGGAGTTTGTCCCTCCGTCTGTTCCATTCTTGTAAATGCGATATATCTCTGGGAACGCCCACTTGGACTCAAGGATGAACTGCTTAGAATTTGGAGGTCAAAGGTCACTGTGATCTAACACAACACGTGTTTGGCCATAACTTGATATGCTGATGATTGATATTAATTGTGCAAATTTTACACAAATGTAATGATATTTTGGAGCGATGTGGATGTAGACCGCAACATGACTGGTTGACGGAGGCCTAAGACCCTCAGGCGGTAATTTTAGTTCCCCCACATCTTTAATTGATTCATTGTTTGAGTAAAATACTCCAAATATCTTTGATTCTGGCTTCTCCATGTTTTATTAAGTCTTGTTTGTTTTTTTTACTGTTCGTCGGACAAAACAAGACATTTGTAGGCGTCAATTTGGGCTCTGGGAAATTTTGATGGACATTTTTCCCTATTTTCTGGTTATATATAAAATATTTATTGAGAAAATAACAACAACAAAATACACACGTCTGCTGGATTTGGTCTCCACGGTATTCGACAGAGTTATGGTCTGATTTTCACAATGTTTTTATGTGTTGTTTTTACTAGTTAATAAAAAAACGACGTGTTGGTGGTAATGAGCTGTTCAAGGTAGCAGTCTGTCAATAAAAGCTGCTATAAATTATGCAGGTTGTAGCCTGAGGGCTACAATGCAATTTGGGGAGAGAAAAAGTGAATGTCAACAAAAACATTTACTTGTAATGGGTACCTTAATGCTGGGCAGGCGTGGTTTGGATCAAGCACGTTATCAATCATTTAGGTAAACTGCATAGCAACATTTTTATGAAACATTTTTCTCCTATAATCAGGACATTGTGATGATAAAGGAGAGCAGTATACGCGGCTGCCATCCTTATTTAAACATCCACGCCTGAGTTGAAATCATTAACCCCACCAACCTCTCACCAATGTTGTTCATCAGCAAACTTAACAAATTCTCTGAAGAAGCACAAGCCAATCAGAGGCAGAGTGAGGCGGGTCATATGGATGGGGGGGAAATCAAGCAAACTATGGTGAAGAACAGGCTGCGCAGCTGCCAATGGCTGTGAAAGAGGTAATTTAGCATGCAGATAAAAGGGCATTTCAGCATTTCTCTCTTTTTATTTTTTATTTTTTTTGCTCGTATGTCACTGCACTTGTACTTTAAAAAGATGAATACTTTATTGATCCTGGAGGAGGGAAAATGTCACACAGCAGCCAGTAAATATAATATGACAAGATCAGTCAGGCGGAAGGTGTCACTCGACTGCACTCCGACCCGTCGGTGGAAAACAACGACAGGCAACTTGTATTTTATTAGACGGTTACTGCAGTCCTGTCAACCTGTGCTCTGACCGAAATGTGCGAGTTGTCGTCCAAAAGCAGTGCCCTAAACAGGACCTCTAAACAAGAACAGTGGAGCCACAGTTCATCAAGCTTGTTAAAACAAAAATAAAGGGTCTTGTCCAACTGCATCAGTACATGTTAAGGTTCATCCTGAAGTGAAAACATGAGTATAAGTGATTATGAATTGTTTCTAATTTTACATTTCCTTGTTTGTCTCAGCCAGGATATGTGAAGCTGTCCAAGCCGGTGGCCCTATGGACCCAACAGGACGTTTGCAAGTGGCTGAAGAAACACTGTCCCAATCAGCACCAGATCTACAGCGACTCCTTCAAACAGCACGACATCACAGGTACTGATTCACACCTGGGACACACTGTCTGTGGTGGGAGATGGTTTTCCACCATTCATTTATTCGTAGGTTTTTCACACCGCCGCGACGGCAACAGATATGTTCTTTGGGCCATAGCATTCTGGACGGACATGGACGTAAACTGCAACATGACTTTTGATTATTCTTTACCAGGTAATCAAAAAACATGGGATTTGTGCCGTTACTAGGTGATTAGTTGTAAATGCTTGCAGTTACATTGTTGGAAATGACCTCCCAATCCAATGCACTATATACGCGAGGGTATTTGCAATCGTCAGTGTAGGAGAATTCATATTTGTGACATTGAGTCCCATGCAGCAACATTCTCTTAAATTTCTTTTAAATTTTTTCTTAAGAGAAACAATAACAGAAGTCAACTCCAGATGCACGAAACATCCTTAACCATCCAAACCTGCTCTTGCTCAGGTGTGCTGAGTGATTAATCCCACATGATCAACACTGGAGGCCTGTGGCTCATTGTGTATTATTAGCATAGGTAACGCCCCCTAAACACTATGTAAGGATAGCTGTGTGTCGTGTGCAAACACAACACAACAGCACATGCCCGAGAATTGGAGAGATGCCACTGAAAAAAAAAGGCTGTAAGAATAAGAACTTCAGCGGTAGTGAAGTTGAGGTACTGTTAAATAAACTGAAACAAAGCAAACAGAATTTTCCAAAGCATCGGTACTGACGTTACAGGAAGAGCAGTATGTACAGGAAGGCATTCAGAAGCTACATGGAGTCTTAATTGGGATCAGTGGACCAAAAGTGTTTCTTAAGTCCACAAATTTAATCGTCCAATCATAATAATTTCTCTAAACCATATAATAATCCAAATTAGATTAATAGATTTTATGCTATTCATGTGTTTTTCTTTTATATTCCTAAAATTGAAAAACTCATGTTTCCTTGTGTTGGACAAAAAAAAAAAAGTTGGCAGTGAAAACGCAAGGCATCATTCTCTGCCTCTGAACTATTTGTCACGCCTTCATGTCGATGAGGCCACGCCTCATCCACAACATCCCAGGTGCGCTCTCTGCACCCACTGTCTGCCTCCCGGCCCACCCGTCTGTCCGCCCGCGCCCCGGTCGCTGCCGGCGTCACCGCTGCCGACAGCCGCCGCGTCAATCAATCTCCGCTAACGAGCCTCCTCAAGGTCACCCCGCCGCTAACGACGCTCCGGTCCGCGCAGACGCCTGTTAATTGCCATTGCTCTCTGCCCCCCGGAGCACGACTGATCACATTTACATGTTTATCTGTTGCTTTTCGAGGACCTCCTCGACTCGCATCGCTCTGCGATTTTTTTACCTTGTGATGCATTTTGGGAAAATTTGCTTTTCTTTTTAAGTTCGAGGTGCAGTTGAAGCACCGCTGCGAATTTTTTTTTTTCTACTTATTTGGGTGCGGTAATAATTCAGATGAAATACAAGGCACATACGCAACAAGAGCTTCCAGAGGATAGCCCTGAAAACACACCTCTCATCTCTTATCTCACCCGCAGTGTTTGTTGCATTAAAAAAAAAAATCCTGTCAAGTGCAGTCATTCAGCTGGTAGAGAATTTCTCAAGAGGGCCATATCTAATTAAGGAAAATTAATCTTAACTTTAATATTAAATGGCTCAGTGTTCCTGACAAGCCTAATGCATTCAGTTACAGTCTGTAAATAAATAATATTTTCTTGTATTAGTCCTTCAGTGATTAAAACATTAGAAGTTAGCCTCCTAATGGCGTGTTGACTTAATGATATGTGTTTGTTATTAAGGTGTAAGGATTTTTACAGGATTATACAACAGAAGAATGGGTTAACCAAATAGGCATGCACATACAGTACAATCACACACACACACACACACACACACACACACACACACACACACGTGTGATTTTCCTACTGGCACAATTAGGAGATAATGATATGCGCAAAAACCTGCAAGTAATTCAGTTTGTCTTCACATCGAGCATTAATTAACAGAACCCAATTAAAACAGGCCAGGCCACACCAATTGGGCTCATGAGGCAATTTGCATCCCAATCAATCTCTGAAATATTATGCAGATCGCTTCTTTTTTTTTTTCTACTGTTCCTACACCCTGTTAGAATAAACAAGGGGTAAACAAATGATGAACGGAATATTGTTGTGGAAAACAATCATGCGTGGAGAAACGAACAGTGAGCGTGAATACGTTTATAAGGGCATCTGAGCATATCTTTTGTTCAGTGTGCTCGTCGTACAATAGCTGCAACCCTTTGAAAATGGAGAGTGTGTGTGTGTGTGTGCATAGATTTGGTTTGCAGAACATCGGATTCTCCAACCCAGAGCGTCTCTTTGCTGTATTTCCCATCCGATCCGTCAACAGAATACTGGAATACTCACTTCTCTTGGCAGACTACTCGTCCCTCCATAAAGTACCGAAATCAATAAGCGCTCTCAATTCCAGATCATAATTCAAGCAGGCATTTGCGTCAGCCCTCCTTCGACATGACAACAGCGGCAAAGGAATCGCATTTTGCCGCTTCTCAGGGCCGGCGCAACATTTCGACGCCGAGCGACTTCAGTATGCAGCAGCTGGCTCCCTGGTGGGCTCCTGTAACGTCAGCCAAAAAAAAAAAATCAATGTTTCCCATCCTCCCTCACGCACGCACTGCCAAGAAACCCCCCGGCCCCCACCCACCTCCCCCCCTGGTCCTCACCTCCCACCCCCAACAGAGACGGCGGCGAAATTTGACTTCAGCACCAGAGCTGCCATTAAAAAGGCATTAAGGCATATTAAGGCATAATTAGATATTAGTCCCTAATCCGTTGTAATTACAAGGCCGAATCTCTTTTGGGTGGGAGAGTAGCTTGGCATGAAGAATTAGTTAAGTGCACAATTTGCGATACCTTGGATGTAATCAGCGCGAGAGGGGTGATGAAGTAATCAAAAGCAAGAGGACGGAAGATGGCGAGTCACCGTTAAGTTGTATTTTCTGTCAGAGAGGCCCATTGCATCACGTTGTGGAAATCAGAATCTCTCTTAAGGCATTGAAAGGCAGAATTGGATGCAGATGCGGAGGCTGGCTGCAGGGGCGGCTTTACAAACCTTTGAGTAATTTGTAAATGAGTTTAAAAAATGCGTCGGCGCTCACATTTACAGCTCTGGTTCTTGGCCATAACGAAGTCTACATTATTAAAAATGCCATTCCTTATTTGTTACTCAGTATATATGATTGCCAGATTAAAAACTTTAGATATTCTAGTATTAAATGATGTCGATAGATATCCCACAGCCGTGGATAGATTGAGACGACGACTCCCTGGACACAGGTAGTATAAAAGGCCCCCCATCCCCCACCTACATACTGTAAGAGCAAGACACACAGACTGAAAGAGACACGGAACAAAGTGTGGAATTTCTTCGGCTTTGATTAAAAAAAAGAAACGGAGACAGCGGTGCAGTGTGAATTGGGAATACCACTTCAACCGTCCATCGATGAGGCTGTTTTTCCTCGCACAGGAACACTCGAGCAGCCTCGTAATACCGTTTGACGTATGGTGTCATAAGACCTCGCTCTAAATAATTAATAGCCTGTAATATTAGCGGTTTAATGAAGAGTGGCCGGTATCCAGCAGCCCGCACTCGACCGCTTCAGTTCTTCTAAAGGTCCGCGTTCAACCCCCTTCTGGTTGGCGGATCTATCATTCCCTCTGCTTTGAAAGCAGCGGCGGCCGCGATCGCCCTCGTCCTCCCAAAGGCCTCACGCTGGGTACAAATTGTATTTGATGTGCCGCACAACAGGATAAAAAGGTGACAAACGCTTTTTATTCCAAGAACCGGCGGCGAGGACAACCAGCAACACAGGCCTAAACAGCACATGAGGGATGAGACAATGAATTCTGCCGGCACTGGTGCCCATTGTTTTGTGTAATTTCCAAAAGGGAAATTTGAACAGCTCGCTGCTGATGAGCTTGTTCGGGGGACAATTTGATCCGCAGACGGAATGAATCGCGCTTAATGATGCCATTGGCAAGGTGATTATATAGCAATGTGTAATATAAAATTAATTACGGCTCTGCCAATTGCATGTTTTGAAAGTGTCGCCCTCGCTTTTCCATATGGAGGGTTTGGAAATGAAATGAATGACGAAGCAGCAGAGCAGTTACATAAACAAAGTGTAGTTAGGCTCATCATACAGTACGCACTCTTTAGTTTCACCGAAACGAGATGCGCATAACAGACCAGAAATGCAGTTATGACGCAGTTACAGTGCAGCTAGTAATGAGATGCCCCAATTTCAATAAAGAAAATAAGAGTGCAGTAGAGAAACCCATCAATCAAAGGAGTTACCAACGACAACATGATATGATTCGGGGATTCAAGGATAATTTTATTGTTGTTGTGCTACACAGTGTTGCACAAAGAAATGGAGCTGTAGCCCATTTGCTACAGAAGAAAAAACATTGAATTTGCATCAGGAGGAATGTAACCAGCCGCAACAAAACAACCCTCTGGCTCGGGGCTGTCGGAGGCGTTTGGTCTGGCTGATCAGGCTGATGGGTGTTCGGAAGATGCCGCGGACTGTGATCGTCTCAAGTGTCCGCCGCACTATACAATACCCTTGCTTCCTCCTCCAATGTGTGAGTGAATTGGCATTAATTCCACATGCTATACGTTCTCCAGTGACAAATGGGACAAATTACCAAAAAGATTCGCAAAGTTCGTGGGAGCTACCGGCCTCTGAACCTTACATGCTGAAAGTAGACGATAGAAGATGTTGCATCACCTCCCAGCCACACTTGGTGTCTCGCTCAGCGAGGGCCGTGTTTATGCGACATGTCGGCCGACAGTGAGCACTCGCATGACAAGGATCGCGGCAGGTTGCTCCAAGCACAACTTGAGTCGTCGGAAAGTCCGCGGGCACATTCATTCGTTGTGATTTCCTTCGCACATGACAGAGTGTTAGGGCGCTGGAATCACAGCCAGCAGTCCTCCCCTTAA